GGCTGTGGCTTTAGCAAGTCCCATAAATAAAGCTATTCAGTGCTCACGTCACCCTCCAGCTCACTGTATCCTCCGTTCCTCCAACTCCCCATGCGGCCATTCTAGTTTTGAAGTATTTAGGGCACACATGCCTATACCAGCACTCTCCTGAGACCCACAATGAAGACTCCCCCCTTTTCCACTTAAATGGTGAATAGTTCTCTATAAAACAGACCAATATATGATACATAAATACACAGCGCAGTAGCAGAAGGAGGGAGGGAGAGGTACAGTCCTGTCTGTGTATTAGTCAATGGGAGTGCATCGATCTTAGCGGACACTCTGGAAGATTTAAAGGAAGCTCCTTGACTGTTTTTTTTCTCTGGATAAAGGCCTTTTGACGCTGCCTTTTGAAACCCCTGATTGAATTTCCAGCCATCTACTTTTCCCGACTGTCACCAGAAAAGCATGTTTAAATGAACATGAAATTCCATCGGTAGAAAGCCTTGTGAGGCTCAGTCCACCAACCCCATCGCCAAAGCCGCTGATAATGCCCTATTGTGTTACTGTGGCGGCCTGGGTTATCATTATAAAGTCTTTTGCTCCTGGTTGAGAAAACAAGACATTCCATTAAATGTATAATCTGGGTTCCTTCCAGGCCAGAGATGCATCCTGCTTAAAGCTGAAATGAGCTGAGATTCGATGTTATAAAAAAGAGGAGAACCATCCACTGGGAAAAGGGGACTTGAGGGACGGGGAGAAGAATGGTGAATTCAGGACCCTGTGACCCACTGGTTTCAACCTGAAGACAATGTCTTTCTGGACAAAGGACCTTAGAAGTCCAAGGGAAAACAAGTTAGCATTCTTCATCTTTGGGCTCTGCTGTGGTTGGGTGCTGGACAGCACTAATTGGGGAAGTTCTTATCTGTGAAGAGAAGACCATGTCTTTAGGGTTTACCCAGGGGCCTGTTAGCTTCTGGCTCTGGGCTCTACAACCAGAGAAATTTGCCTGGATCCAGATGTCAAGCTAGATCTGGGTTAGGAATCAAGAGCAGACATTGTCCCAGCTCTGCCATGATCTAATCCTAGGTTCTTTGGTAGTCACTTCATCCAGTGAATTGACAAAGCTTGAACAGTTTTCTCATCTGTAAGTTATGGACAGCAGCACTCGCCCAGGCTACCAAAAGGTAGCTGTCCTAGCAAGCTTTTCATTCAGCACTTCCATCTCCCTCACTTCAGGCAATAGGACAACTGAAGGAAGTCAGAAGGGTCCAGGCAAATGTAAAGTAGGCACCTGTGAAGGTTCCCCCACAATTTGTTTCCCGAAGCATTTTGGGGTCTATAATGACATGGTGCATTTAGAAATTGATTCCAGGATTTTATGTGCAATAAGCAGCATCCTCTACAATGGTGAGAGGCTCAGAGCTCAGCATACAAGAGATCCTCCTCACACTTGAAATGACTTTTTTAAAACCCAAAGTAATAACTTGTTTTTGTTGAATATAAAACTGACATGTTCATTGTTACTTTTGAAAATTCAGAAAAGCGTAAAAACAGAATTCAAAACTATTCTAGAGAGAAATACTATTTACATATTGGATAAATATAGGCATTTGTTAAGCTTTTTTTCAAAGGTAGAATCATAATGTATATAATGTTTGGTAATTGCATTTTCACCTAAGAGTATATTATGAGCATTAAATATTTTTCCTAAAACATCTCACAAATATGCATAGTAGGCATTTATCATGCCTTACTTAATAATCTCCTATTGTTGAATATTTAGTTAATGATCAGGTTTATTTACAAATAGCACTGCCATGAACACACACATAAGCACTTCGATGTGACTCTTGGATTTTTTTTTTTCTTTAGGATATGGAATTGCAAGATGGAAAAGCAGAAACCTATTTTTAAAAAGCATCTGATACATGTTGCTAAATTATCTTCCTGTCTTCGCTATCCAATATGGTAACCATATGTGGGTTATTTAAAGTTAAATTAATTAAACTTAAATAAAATTAGAAGTACGCTTTCTCAATCACACTAATTACATTTCAAGTGTTCAACAGCCATATATGGTTAGTAGCTGCCATATTGGACAGTACAGATAAAGAACATTTCCAGCACCACAGAAAGTTCCATTGCACAGCACAACTCTAGAAAGAATGTACAAATTTATATTTTCCTTAGTAAAATATGGCAGTGCCTACTCTTACAAGTTGGCCAACACTAAATATTGTTATTCTTTTTAAAAATTTTGCCTCCCTGACTGGTTTGGCTCAGTGGATAGAGCGTCGGCCTGAGGACTGAAGGGTCCCAGGTTGGATTCCAGTCAAGAGCATGTTCCTTGGTTGTGGGTACGTCCCCAGTAGGGGTGTGCAGGAGGCAGATGATGGATGTTCCTAGCTCTCTATCCCTCTCCCTTCCTCTCTGTAAAAAAATTAATAATATATATAAAATTTTAAATTTTCTAACTTAATACAAATTATATCTTGATTTTTCTTTTCTTTGCTTATTAGTAAAGTTGAACTTTTAAATTTATTTGCCTTTGATACATATTTTTATGAATTATTTATATAGTAATACTATTTTTATTGGAATGATCTTTTAAAAACTGATTTTTATATATATTTAAAGAGTAATTTGCATTGCAAAAGTTTTTGCAACTGGTTATCTTTTATTTATGGCATTTTTTCACTTATAGAAACTTAAAATTTTAGTATACTTAAATCTTTTTATAGTTTTCTCTGTTGTTTTTGCCATTTTAAAAACTCTAAAACTAAGATTATAGTAATATCTACCTAAAATTTATTCTAGTTCTTTCATCATTTCATTTTAAACATTTAAATTTTCAGTCCTGGAATTCATCTTGGTGTGTGATATAAAGTATAAATAAATATAACCTTTTCTTTTCCCATGTCATCAACCATTGTTCAAGAATCATTTCTTTTAAAACAATAAATTAATCCACACTGATTTGAACTCCCTCTAGATGCTTACATATTCTTGAAACTATGTCTTGATTTTCTACTCTGTCCACCTATTTTTTTTTTTTTGGCTTTTACCATTCTTGTTTTATTAACTTGCTTTATAATACATTTCAATATTCAGAGGTATAAGCATTTCTTCACTATTCTTTTCCTCAGAAATGTTCTAGCTCTTTTGCCCTCCCCACCCAAGATAAACCTAGATTTATTGCGTTAAAGTCCTCACCACCAAAATAAACTCATTCAGAACTTTGATTGAAAACTTGAATTCAATTTATAAATTGATTTGGGGAGAATTTATTATCTCTACAGTATGAACTGAGGACAGTATCTCTACAGTTCCATTTAGGGACCTGGTGATTCTGACCATTTTTTTAAGGTTCCCTGTATATCCTTCTCAACTGGCTTTAAAAAAACAAAACAAACCCACACACTTTTTTTTTTTTTTTTTTTAAAGCTCAGTGATGGATCTCTGACTGACTTCAGACAGTCTCTAAACCTGTGAGCGGGTGCTCCCAGCCACTAGAAGCAACAAAAGAAATTCCACTTCTTAGCATTGGAGTATATTTTCAGTATCCACCTTCTCATAAATCTGCAAGAAAGATCTCACTTTTCAGCCAAAGAATCTGGAGTTCAAAACAGCCTTTACGGAAAAATCAAACTCTAGGGGCAACTGCAAAGCACATTTGGTTTCTAGCTGGCCAGCTTCTTCTGCAGGACTCTTTTTTCCAATCCCCAAATACTTTCCAGTCTGTGAAATTCATCTCCCCACCACTGCAACATCGGAGCGCCTCTCCTGGCGCTCGGAGCTCACAGTTCCTCAGGAGCTCCCATCTCCTCTGAGGGCCTTTTTATTGTTGGAGTTGTTTATGAGTAGGGAGCACGGAGATTCCTTGAATGCCTGCTGCTTGGCAAATCTAAGGGGATTTGGAAAGCGTTTCATCGATCTGAGTTCAGCTCTCCCTGGAGCACAATCCAGATGCCTAACCAGGACCCTTTCTCATGCTGAAACCAGGGCTCCTGCATCTCCCTGGCAGCCCACCAGTCAAATCGCCAAGAACTGGAATTTGCCTGCATCCGTGGTTCTCAAGTCCCGGGCTGTTTATGTCCCGCAAGGGACTCTTGGCAAAGTCTGGAGACATTTTTGGTTGTCTCCACTTTGGGACTGGGGACGGGGGGGGGGGGGGGGGGGGGGGGAGGGGGAGTGGGAAAGAGGGAGGACGGAGGAGGGGTGGTCCCGGCATCCTCACTTGGCAGCAGTGGGTAGAGACAGGGGATGCTGATAAACACCCTACAATGCACAAGACCGCCCCACAACAAAGCATTCCCCAGCCGGCAGCTCCATAGCGGGGAGATGGAGAAATCTACCTACATTTCCACTCACTGCCCGGTCCGCAAGCATTCTGTTATTAGGAACAAAGGTACTGCATTAAGTAGGGCAGCGTTGTTTTTTTTTTTTTTTTTAAAAAAAGGAACCGGCAGACTTTGAGCAGCCCACGCCTTAGGCTAGAGGTGCCTCAAAAAGTTCTGCCTCTCCTAAAGCAAGCCTTTCTCACTGAGGTTTCTTGCAGCAAAGGAGAAAGATTGACAGACACGTAGTAGGTCAACGGCATCCAGGAGAAAGATGGACAGAAACGTAGTAGGTCAACACGCCTTATGTCAGAGGTGCCCAAAAGTTCTGCCTCTCCTAAAGCAAGCTGTTCTCCCTGAGGTTTCTTGCAGCAAAGGAGAAAGATGGACAGAAACGTAGTAGGTCAACAGCAACCTCACACTCCTGGGTCACAGAAAGCAAGGCAGAAAAGAAGCTCGTCTCCCGAACCAGGAGGGACACCTCCCCCGCGGACACCGCGGGCAGCGGAGGCTGGGAGGCGCGCGGTCCCCTGACAAAGGCGCAGCGCCGGGTCCCTCTTGGTCCCTCTCGGTCCCCGGGCAGGCGCGCCGGCCGGTCCCAAAGCCACCCCGCCAGCAAGCCCAGCCCGGGGAGGAAGCATCCTCGGCTCAGTCTCGTGTGGAACAACTCAGGGCACTTACTTGTCCAGAATGAAGTACAGGTCAAATCCGCCGTAGCAGGCTGGACCCCCTTCCTCCCTGCGTCCCCCGTGCCCGGCGCAGAGGAGCACGAAAGTGGCCAAGGAGAGCCACTTGAAGCCAGTGCCCAGGGCTTTGGGCTCCGCGGTGGCCATGACCTGCAGCCCGGGGAGAGGGTCGGGTCCTCTCCTTCCCACGCGCCTCGAGCTCGCCAGGACCCTCAGGGACGCGCCATCCGAGGGGACCCTCCTCTCGGGCCCTTGACTCCCCCACGCTCTCCCGAAACTCCCCGGAAGCAATTGTCTGGAGGAGTTCAAGGTTTTCCTTCTGGTTTCCGCTTCGATTCGGTTTCTAGGTTTCAGGTTTCAAGGATCCCAATACTGTACTCCGCTGCTTTTTTTTAAAGGGGCTGCTCGGACGCCGGCCCGCCGCCGGGCGCTCCCGAGGCTGCGCTGGGCTTTTGCAATGGAAGCAGTTCCGTGTCCAGACGGTTCTTTGTCCCAGGTTTTTAAATATTATGGGGTGGGTTTTCAAATTGTTCTTCTTGGTTGGGGGAGTGCTTTGCCTTTCCTCCCTCCTCTCCACCCCGTTTTGCTTATTTTGATGGGGGAAGAAAGTCCAAAGGGCGCCACCTAGTGGCCGAAGATGAGGAAAGCGCTCTTCGGCGTTCGTGGGAGCAGGTTTTCTTTTTCTCACGCACCTTCTCTTCCCTTCCAGTCCCTTCCCCCATGGCTTCTCCCCTATTTTAAATTCTTTCTCATTCTCTAGCCTTTCCCTCCCTTGCCCTTTCATCTCCTTTGCTGGGGCTTCTGATAATCACTGTAAACTTTGGATGAGAACTTATTTCCTCCAACCCCAGACTGGGGCCTTTGCAAACAAGTCACTGTGCAAATTAAGCAGAGAAGAACGGGGCTTTTGTGATCTGCATGGCCCAAGTGACTTTTCTGCATCGCCCAAGTGACTTTACTGTACTCTTAGCGCAGATCACAGAAGAGACTGTTGGGGTCCAGTTATGTGGCTGGGAACAGCATGAACAGTCCCACAAAGAAGCCTCTCCCTCTTGGCATGGAAAGACTGAGCGTTCTACATTATCTCCATCTCTAGATTTTAGAGATTCTGTGATAATTCTTTCAGCCTATGAACTTTGACCTTTTTCTTTTCCCTCTCCCTATCTTTGATGTAGGACAGAGGAAATAAACAGTCTACAAGGGTATGAACCTTTCACCCAGTTTGGGACTGGCAGGGACACCTTGCGTAGTCTTTCTAACGTGAGAGATCTTTAGAGTGGCCCCTGAGCCCCAGTTCCAGGCGGGAACACAGTTTTGGCTTCATATGCCTTTTAGTCTGGGAGTCCTCAATTATATACTTCTTTTTCAGAATGACCTCTCCAGACACATATCGACCCCTCATTTATGACCCTCTGAGACCCTCACTCCCCAATGTGACCATCCATGGTGGTTTTCCCCACCTTATGAATAATGGAATCCTACTGTCTTGGAATAACCCATTAAACAGTAATTTTGTTGTCACAAGTTTTGAAGATTGTAATGTATTGTACTAGCCTTCAAAATATTCCTAATTGCCTAGTATTCACTCACCACCGCCACCCAAACTGAATAGGACTGATCTGGGTGTAATTTATAAAGTCTATGGTGGAAATGAAGGTGTGTAAGTTCTGAGGTTGGGTCATTGTGGTTTCCTTCTTGTTCTCTTGGATCACTTGCTCAGAAGGAGAGGTGTCCACTGCCATGTCAGGAGGCCACCCAAGCAGCCCTATGGAAGAGTCCATGTAACAAGAAACTGAGATTCCCCTCTGACAATCAGCATCAATTTTCTAGCCATGTGAGTGATTCGTCTTGGAAGTGGATTCTCGGACCCCAGTCAAGCTTCCAGATGACTGCAGCCCTGGCCAACATCTTGACTACAACCTCATGAGAAACCCCAAGCCAGACCATACGCTAAGCCATTCCCAGCATCCTGGGAATTATGCAATAATAAGTGTTTACATCACTGTAAAGACACTTTATTATTAAAGAGAGGTGGGAGCACAGCTCTCCAAGGGGGAAGGAAATTCAATGTAAAGCAAAGTTGTGGGAAATGGGAGGGAGTGGAAGAGGCTCCCCTGGGACAAAGATGATGCTTTATCAGGCAGAGGGATAGTTAGAGGGACTTAAGCACTTGAATGTTCACCTTCCTCCAATATTCTAGAAAGAGGCCTATTAATACAGGCTGACCATTCCATAGATCTTAAATCTGCTCTACCTTCCTTTCCAGGCACTTCTTCTAATTGTGTCAGCCTCACTCACTATGGGGAGGTATCATCCAAATATGCTCATGAAGTGAATTTGACATTAAGCTACAGATATAAAAGGTTGAAGCAAAACAGATAGCTAGAGTTTATAACAGGTAAATGAAGCCCCTAGTATGATCTCAATGTGGTGGCTCAGCAGGTCTGCAAGAGGAGATATTATCAGGTTCTCTGAATTGGAAACATTTTTTCTTCTGTTGGTGGGATATAGCAGCCTTATAATAAACTAGAGGCCTGGTGCACGAATTTGTGCATGGGCGGGGTCCCTTGGACTGGCCAGCCATTGGGGCTTATCTCAGGGCTGCCAGCTGAAGGGAGGGACCATGGGAAGTTGGCTGGCCACAGAGGTTGGCCAAGGGATTGCACTGATCACTAGGGGGCAGCTCCTGCATTGAACGTCTTCCCCCTGGTGGTCAGTGTGTCATCATAAGAGACTGGGTTGTTTGGTCCACCAGTCATAACAGTCACTTAGGCTTTTATATACAGTATATAGATTAGTGCATGTAGGGAAAAGGGAGAGAGGTGGATGTCACTTAAGGTTGGAGGAGGGCTAGGGAAGAGTCTTCGATGGATTCCTGCTTGCATTTCCCAGATTAATTTTACAGCTCAGAGATATCCAAGTATCAAAATCCCCTTATGCAAATGTTACCATCTTCTCAAGGGACATCTTGATGCTCTGATTGAACTGAGGGTGTCTTGGTTTCTAATCCTTTCCAAGGACCCCACTGTTTCTGGAGATTAATTGGCTTTCCCAAGGTCCATAGAGATAGATACATGAGTTTTGTAAGAAATTCCTCTGTCTCTCAAACTCAAGTCAGCATAAGAACAATACAAATGGTGATGTTGGGCTATAGGTTGATATTTTTGAGGTTGGAGAAGCACAAAGGCAAATTTAATATGCATGTGGAACTGATTGAGCGATAACTTGAAAGTCAAGGCAGGGAAGAGATTCTTGGAGGGAGAAGTAGTCAACAGTGCCTACTTGTCAACAAGTAGGATGTGAAGAAGATAAGCCCTGAGAACATTCCTTTGATATGACACAAATGTATTGTGTTACCAAAGAACCTTGCAGTGGAGTAGTACAAGGGGATGTTAGGTTGCATTGAGTTACTGGGAAGGGGAATTTCTCTTTCAAGAAGAGAGAGGGATAAGGGGGCAACTTGTAAATGTTTTATATGCTACCAGGAAGGACCCCAAAGTATCTAAAGATGCCAGGAATTTCAAGTCCTTTGTTTTCCAAAAGACTAGAGAATTTTTCTTATTAGACTGATCATCTTAAAACTTTAGTCCTACACCCTAATTGCTGTTCTACCTGAATTTTCCAGATTTCCTTTTTGGAGATAAAATTTGTTAAATATGACCTGCCTGTATACCAGCCGCCAATGTCTCTCTCCCTTACTTTCCCACCACTCTCCAACAGATGTGACTGAGCCCCTTTTATAAAACTGTCTAAAACAAAGTTTGCTGTTGTTAGGACATCTTTTCTTCCAAGAGTCTCATTAGGTATTAAAGCACCATTTGTCTGCATTCTTGATAAAAGTTCAAAAAAAAGTTCCAGATAATACAGACTATCCAAGAAAACTTGGAGGGACATTTTTTTTAAAAAGCTTTCCTTTAGTTCACTGTTAAGAAAATTGCTCTAATGGAATCTTTTTTAAAAAGTTATTAAATACATTTTTATTGATTTCAGAAAGGAAGGGAGGCGGCGAGAAGGAAAGAAACATCAATGATGAGAGAGAATCATTGACTGGCTGCCTCCTGCACGCTCCCTACTGGGGATCGAGCCCACAACCCAGGCATGTGCCCTTGACCGGAATCAAACCTAGGACCTTCAGTCTTTAGTCTGATGCTCTATCCCCTGAGCCAAACCAGCTAAGGCAAAAACTTGGGGAAAGTTTTACATAGAAATACCTGTCTACAATATGAACAGATCTGACACTCCCTGCCAAATTTGTGTCAATCAAATAGGTCCAGTGTTTGCCAAATTCTTGGAATTCCCACTGATACTCGGGTTTTGGTGGTACCTTCTAAAGCAAGCCATTATTTAATAAAAACAGTCTCTTTTCATTGTTATTAGATTTCCTTCATGCTTGTCTTTCATGGAACTACCGTTTGCAAGAAGTCAAGAGAGCATTCCCAGAAACAATTTATTATCTAGAAAAACAGAGTTTCTAAAGAATCTGAATCAGTTCAATAATGGCTTTGGCCACAGAAAAAGCAGAGATTCTGGTAATAACTTTAAGCCCAGAGGCAGAACCATGGTCTAGAGAAAGATACCTTAATGGTATCTGAGAGCCCAGGGCATTCACAACTTTAGCCCAGAGCCTGGTTGAACCCAACATCCCATTAATAACCTTACCCAGAGCCCAACCCAGTCTGGCTATAAAATAAATGTAGTCCAACACATTCCTTGATTCAATTAGGTCATTTAAAATCCCACCCAAAAGCCCTATTAACTCAAATGCACAGATAAGGCTCACTTAACACAGCCACAACCCAACTCTGATTAATCCAGAAAAAAAATGAGCCAATTTCATAGATAAGTCGATGTCAGCCCAAAGAGAAATTCTGTTTCATCTGGTTCGAAACCCAGCTCAGCTAAATCAACAAACCATCTCAGTTTGTCCTAAACCAAGCCCATCACAATATGAAGTTTAATCACCAATTTTCTTATAGCCCAATCCAGCTAAAATCTAGCTAAAGCTCAAAGCCTGCCACAGCAAGTCTTATGATAAGCACATTCCTACAGAGACTCAGACAAGAGAACAATATGTAACTCATACCAGCATGTCCTAAAAAATACATACCAGATCCTCCAGAGGAAAAGCCTTGATAACAAAATGTTCA